GCTTGTGAGCTTCACTCATCATCAAGCAACAATTAAATAATGAAGTTTTCATTGTGATTGTTTTATTTAAATCATTTATTAGGAAGGATGATCAAATGAAAAAAACTAAACACATGTAAATAATATCCACACTGAAGTTTGAACAGCAGGTCAGAAACTTACGCTGGAACTTTTTACACAAGAGATGGTGAGTAAAGTAAACTATTCAGGTAATTTAGTTAAAAACAAACTTTATTTTGAGGGAGAAACAAGGAAAATGACACATTTCCTCGTCTGGCAGGATTATCTCCAAAACGACCTGTCATCTCTCAGCGCAAACATTGTGTTTGGACATCAACAATAACTCCACACAATTATTTGTTTACCCTGACAGGAACATTATCTGCTCTGGGGCAAATACAGGTGAGCATTTGGCCCGGACCTGTAAAGAACTATGGGCTGTTTTTTTTCCTCCACAACCCGTCAGCGTGGATCTGGGAGATCTGAAGGTTGAGCACAGGTTTGTCACAAAATACAAAATTCTTATTTAATTTTTAGGCTGCTTTGGTCGACACGGATGGGATCAGAGTCAAAAGGTTTTTTCCAGGTGTCAGGCAGGTTTATGATCAGCCTGATTCAGAGCTGGTACATGTCTGCACCGCGCATCATTTAAAAACTTTATTAATTTATTATCAAGACTTTGTTCTCATCTTACGTCTTTATAGTTATGAAGTGTACTGCCTTCTGGAAAATACTACATCAACATGAGCATCAAGTAGATCAACTCCAGCTTGTGAGCGAGCACCATCAGCTCACAAGCTGATGGCCGGGGGGGGGGATGGCCCCCTGGCCCCATTTTTTCAGCGCCGGTGACTGGTGACAAAAACATGTGAGGTCATGCAGGTCACTTGCTGCAGCTAATGGGGACAGAATATCCACTTCCTCCCTGAGATCATTCCCAATATAATAAGACTTGGAAGTRACTTCCCAGTCTGGACTGGAATAATGGTCCCTCTGTTCCACAGCACCAGCATCACAGCTCGGCCACTGTRGAAGCTGAATTCAGAAATATCCAACATGGAYACTTGCCTGTTCYAMTTGATGCCTTCATTGCTCGACATGTTTCCTTCACTGAGGGAAACATGCAGATTGCTTCAGCACATGATAAAACAACAATGTGTCATGAAGGGATAGGTTGGTTAGAACCCCAAGTGCAGAACTGAAATGATCTCAGCAAAAAAAGGTGCAAAAGGGCTTTATTAAACAAAATCAAACAGCTGGCGTGGCAACAAACAAGATAAGGTTTAACTTGAGACAATGGCAGGAACAGGAACCACACAACAGAGAACAAAGATCTGACAAAGACTGAAGACAGGGAACAGAATATAAAAGAGAAACCAATGAGTACAAACAGGAAACACCTGGGGGAGAATCATGAGGAGCAGGTGAGAGTGGGCGGGGCTGGAGCAAAGAAKCAGGAGGAAGAAAACAGATGACAAGACAGAAACTAGAATAAAACATTAACACAGACACAAATCATTACAACATTGGGATCAGCAACAGTCACAGAAGCTAATCCAGCAACAATGGCTGCCCACAGTGATGAAGACAAGATAAAAATGGATGCCACAAGCGTTCCTCCAACAGCTGAAGATGAGGTGGAAAACTGGACAGGCCTAATTCTTCCACCCAAAAAAAGGAAGAGCACTTCCTACCTGTCTCCTTGCACTGAATGGCTCCATGCAGCTTCATCTGTTGGGACTAAAAGAGTAAAACTGGGGCTATTAAAAATAAAAACCTGCTTCAGCCTAATAGACGCAGGTGTAACTGACAGGAAATTCTTTTAAAAAGCAATTTGCATTGTGTGGATTGTTTAAAGATGTTTGTCTGTCTTTCAAGTACTCTGTTGGTTGTTCATAAATATTTGTTTTGTTTTGATTCAGTAATATTTGTATTTTCAATGTGTTTTTTGGTACCTCATGGGATGCCATAGAAAAGACAGGCTGGCCTTATAAAAGCTGGCAGTAATTAGTTCTGATGAATGGCTGGAAAGCAACTGACTGCAGGACTTAATGTTTGCTGTTAGAGAAACAAAGATCTTATGTTTGCATTCCCCTGGTGAAGGCAGCGAGGTACGTTTTGTTTATTTCATTTGTTTATGAAGCCATGTTCTTATTTTAATGTGTGCATCATGTTTTTTTTGTTTTCACGGTGATCATGATGGTGATCATGATGGTGATCACCATCATGATGGTGATCATGATGGTCATCATGATGGTGATCATGATGACCATCATGATGACCATCATGATCACCATCGTGATCACCATCATGATCACCATCATCATGATGGTGATCATGATGGTGATCACGATGATCTTGTTGATCTTGGAGCACCAGATGGAAATAAAAAGGTTTAAAATCACCCGTCGAGGCTGCGCTGAACTTTGTCCAGAACTGGGGGGGCTGCTACAACAGGAAACCAACAGTGTTTGTGCTGAACACCTGTGTGTTTGATGCATTTTTTCAGGGCTTATGCTGTGCTTTCTGTGACAGCTCTGCATTTCAAAATGCTGTAAGGAAAAACAGTGACAACCCAGTCCTACAGCTGGTAAAAGCCATTGCCACAGAGGGTGTGACCCAACAGACCTGCTCACGAAGGGCCGAGCTGCTTYGTTCACTGTTTGAAGCAGTGCAGTGAAGACTGGTGCTCRTCAAATCGATGCCCAGTGCAACGTCTCTTCAGTCATTGGAAACAAAATGAGAAATATATCCAGTGTTTATGTCACTAAACACTGCTCATCACAGTACTGCTGCCTCAGCAAAGGTAGACAAGGGAAGTACCACTMGTTTCTCCAGATATTTCTGTCCTGAGGGATTCTGGTATGGCTCAGCTCGACACCGCTGTGGAAAAAGGACTRTCCCTTCCTCAGTCTCCATGCCTCAGGCCGCTCCAGAATGAATCTCTGTGTCCATCAGAGCTGCAGACAGAAGACAGGACCTCAAGAAATGTGCTCTGTGCAGGCAGAGTCACCCACAGCTGCAGCATTGGTGATATAGCATGGATTGATACTGACCTTGATAACCAAACTGCAATTCRCTTGAGTGACTTTCCATCCACTGTGGTTCTCCAAGGAAAGACCTTCACTTTCAGATCAGTCAGTGTTTTCAAGGGAAGCATGACCAAAGATGGCCTGGAGCATTATGCTGCATACTGCAGGAGAGTGCTGACAGAGTGCAAACAGCATCTGAAGACAAAAACACAACCACATGTTGTGTTATACACAGCAGACTGAGTGACAGAGTGACTGTAAATAAGTTCATGTTCATCTTTTATAAAAGTCACAAATCTTTTGACAAAATGTGTCTATTTCATGTTCAGTCTTTCCACATGAAGTCAATTTTCTTAATCTTAAATATTTCCTCCACAAAACCATTAATAACATTTGTTTTGTAGAAGAAATAGTTTACTGGTTTAAATTGTGACCACCAGGGGGCATTTGTTAGAATGCACTCTAAAGATGTCCTATAATTTTCTTTCTTCTTCTTTATTTTCTTAAAGTCAGTACACATAAGTGTGTAWATGTGGTTCTGTAACAGAAACAAATACACAATGTACAGATATAAATTAGACTATAACAAGTCTCTCAAATAAACAACAAAGGATTATAGCAATAAATAGTGATAATAGAATAACTGTCTGAATTTTAGATCCCAAATTAAATATGTACCAACAATTAAAGTATGACATTCATCTAATTGCCTACCTACAGTTATTTAAGCTACAACTTGCATTACTAATATCAAATACAAAAATAAATATCAAAAACCACAAGGAAGTAAACATTTGGGACTACTAAACATATTATTATTAATAATATTCAAGTGTTTCCATCCCATGAGCAACACATATGGCATTAATTAAAGGCAGCAGACTGCGTCACTGTGAACYTCACAACACGTGCAGCAACATCTCAAACAGTCCACACTCTTACAAACAACCWAAACAACAAAACAAAAGCAGCACAAACAACATTTTTAACGGTACAAACGGAGCTCTAACCTTTCAGTCTGTTTGCTGGAGTTTTTCACGTGGGTGGGGGGTCAGCTTCATGCAGCTGCAGGAACGTGGAGCAGAACCAGGTGCTGAATCCAACCTGTCTGCCTCACTCTGGAAACAAACTCACCTGTTAACCAGCCTGTCTGTCTGTCACCTGCCCTGAAACCAGTCACTTACCTGGTGGATCCTTGACCCTCCTCTCCACACAACACCTGAACCTGGAAACAACAAACACTGACCCTCAACTCGTCCCAACAATAACCTGGTCCTCCTCTTTCTCAGATCTGAATCCCTGTGCATCCCTGCAAAAAAGATCTTTAATGTCATTATTGAAAGACATAATAATAATAATAATAATAATAATAATAATAATAATAAT